CAAGTAGGGTAGAAGGTGTTGGAGAAAAAGGCCCAGATCTGTGTCTCTGAACTCATATACCTAGGATATATACTGAAGGAAGGCAAGGGATGGCTGTTGCCTGCTCAAAAACAAACTGTTCTGGACATTCCAACCCTCCAAACCCGGAGACAGGTCCGGGAGTTTTTAGACTCAGTCGGATTCTGCCTTCTCTGGATACCAGGATTTGCTAAACTGGCAAAACCCTCATATGAGGTTACCCATGGGGCAGAGGAATCCTTCCTCTGGACTGACACTCAAGAAGGAGCTTGCAGAGCTGTAAAGAAAACTCTGCTAAAGAACCTCCCAGTACCCTCTCCTGTTACCTTTGTTTCAGTCAAATCTCAGAGCAGCCCCAATCTTTCTAGTGTCTATCCTGGGGCTGTAAGACATGGGTCCCCACTTAGAATGTTGATAAGGACCCCAAGGTAGCTGTCTGAGCAACCAGCAAGTAAGTCTCTGTCATTTTTTTAATCAATAACTCAGGTAAAATTTATTCCTCTCAGGACTTTGATGCTGTTTGATGACTAATAGCTTTGCCAGCTTAAAAGCAGCAACCAAGGCTCAGTTCTCTGTAAAATTCAGGTTACAGGTCTCATTCTCTTAGAGACAATACAGAGTCTAGACACAGATCATCTTGCTACCAGACTTGAAAGACAGACAGACAGACAGACACACACACACACACACACACACACACACACAGAGAGAGAGAGAGAGAGAGAGAGAGAGAGAGAGAGAGAGAAGAGACTCACAAAACAGATTTCAATATAAGTTCTTACCATTCCTTTGTTTAAAGGAACTTACTTTACAGTGACTGTTCTCACTGGGCAGCCACCTGTACTTACAGGCAAAGTAGATAAAAGATGTTTTATGATGTAGAGCTTAAGATGTGAGGATCTGAAAATGTTTGAAGGTGTTTTAAGATGTGCAAATAAAAGTTATTAGGGTGTATAAAAGCAAGTCATAAAGGTCTAAGGATGAAAAGGCTTAAATGCTGATAAGAAAAAATGATTTGAAATGTTTCCACAAGCTCAAGATTTCAAATTCCCTTTGGTTGCTTCCTGACTATAGAACTCAAAGATTCTTTTCATTGTACAGAAAACATGTCACAGCTTTCTGGGGAAAAAAGATGTCAATGCTTTCAACCAGATTAATTTCTGGCACAAGTATACTGCCATCTCTACAATGTAAATGTCAGTAGAGATTATAAACTGAGGGATGTTAGTATGTCTAAAACATATCTTTTCACAAACTTAAAAAAAATCATTTAAACTGGCTTAAAATTATATTTTAACAGCAACACTAGTTCCAGGAAGCCCACAAAATTAAGCAATGTTCACCTGAATCATCTATGAGTCAAGAAAGAAAGAAATAAAGAAATTAAAGACTTACTAAAATTCATGAAAATGAACACACAACAACCCAAATTTATAGGACACAATGAAAGTAATGTTAGAGGAAAGTTCATAACACTAAAAACCTACATAAAGAAGCTGGAAAATCCCACACTAGTGAATTAGCAGAACATTTGAAAACTTTAGAACAAATAAAGCAAACTCACACAGGAGGACTAGACAGCAGGAAATAATAAAATTGAGAGCTGAAATCAAACAAATAGAAACAAAGAAAACAATGCAAAGAATCAATGAGTAGGTTCTTCGAGAAAATCAACAAGATAGACAAAACTTTATCCAAACTAACTAAAAGGCAGTGAGAGAATATCCAAATTAACAAAATCAGAAATAAAAAGGGGGATATAAAAATCGACATAGAAAATCCAGAGAATCATTAAGTCATATTTTTCAAAAACTCCACAAAATTGGAAAACTTAAAGGAAATGAACAACTTTCTGGATGAATATCACTTACCAAAATTAAATCAAGACCAGAAAAGCAAATTAAATAGACCTATAACTGCTGAAGAAATAAGAACAGTCATCAAAAGTCTCCTAAGCAAAAAAAAAAAAAAAAAAAAAAAAGTCCCAGGACCAGATGGTTTTCAGCTCAGAATTCTACAAGATTTTCAAAGAACTATTACCACTACTCCTTAAATTGTTCCACACAATAGAAACATAAGGAACATTGTCAAATTCTTTTTAGGAGGCTACAATTACCCTGATATTCAAACCATATAAAGACATTACTAAGAAAGAGACCAATCTCACAAATGAACATTGATGCAAAAATACTCAATAAATTATTGGCAAATCAAATCTAAGAACACATCGGAAAAATCATCCACCATGATCAAGTAAGCATCATTCCAGAGATGCACAGAGAGTTTAACATACAAAAGTCTGTCAATATAATCCACCATATAAACAAACTGAAAAATAAAACCACATGATCATCTCATTTGATGCTGAAAATGTCTTCGACAAAATACAACACCCCTTTATAATAAAGGTCTTGGAGATAAGAGATAGAAGGAATGTACATAAATATAATAAGGGCAATATAGAGCAAGCCAACAGCTAACATCAAACTAAATGGAGAGAAACTCCCAGCAATCACACTGAAATCAGGAACAAGACAAGGTTGTGCATGTTCTCCATATCTATTCAATACAGTTCTTGAAAGTCTAGCTAGAGCAATAAGACAACCAAATGAGAACAAAGGGATGCAAATCAGAAAAGAAGTCAAACTCTCATTATTTGCTGACGATATGATAGTTTACATAAGCAACCCCCAAAATTCTACCAAGGAATTTCTACAACTCACAAACACCTTCAATAATGTAGCAAGATACAAGACTAACTTTAAAAAAATCAGTAGCCCTCTTGTACACAGATGATAAATGTTCTGAGAAAGAAATCCTAGAAATAAATAGCATAAAATATCTCGGAGTATCTCTAACCAAACAAGTGAAAGACCTGTATGACAAGAACTTTAAATCTTTGAAGAGAGAAATTGAAAAAGATCCAGAAAATGGAAATATCTCCCATGCTCTTGGGTAGGTAGAATTAACATAGTAAAAATGGCAATCTTACCAAAAGCAATCTACAGATTCAGTGCAATGCCCATCAAAATTTTTCACAGACCTCTAAAGAACAGTACTCAACTTCATATGGAAAAGCAAAATACCCAGGATATCCAAAACAATACTGTACAATAAAGAAACTTCTGGAGGCATCACAATCCCTGACTTCAAACTCTACTACAAAGCTACAGTACTCAAAGTAGCCTGGTATTGGCATAAAAATAGACAGAAGGACCAGTGAAACTGAGTTGAATACCAAAATATCAATCCACACTCCTATGAACACATGATTTTTGAAAAAGAAGTAAAAAAATATCAAATGGAAAAAAAGAAAGTATATTCAACAAATGGTTCTGGCATAACTGGATATCAACATGTAGAAAAAGGAAAATGGATTCATATCTATCACCATGTATAAAACTCAAGTCCAAATGCATCAAAGACCTCAACATAAAGCCAACCACACTGAACATCACAGAAGAGAAATTGGAAAGTACCTTGAACACTTTGGCACAGGAGACCACTTTCAAAATATAACCACAGTAGCAAAAACACTAAGAGCAACAATTAATAAATGGGACCTCCTGAAACTATAAAGCTTCTGTATAGCAAAGGACACAGACAAAAAGACAAGACGGCAGTTTAAAGAATGGGAAAAGATCTTCACCATCCCCACATCAGAGGTCTGATCTCCAAAATATACAAAGAACTCAAGAAACTGGCCATCAAAAGAACAAATAATCCAATTTAAAAAATGGCGTACAGACCTAAACAGAGAACTCTCAACAGAGAAATCTAAAATGCCTGAAAGACACTTAAGGAAATGCTCAACATCCTTAGTTATCAGAAAAATGCAAATCAAAACAACTCTGAGATTCCATCTTACACCTGTAAGAATGGCCAAGATAAAAAACACTGATGACAACTTATAGTGGTGAGGACGGAGGATAAAGGGAACACTCCAGCATTGCTGGTGGGAGTACAAACTGGTACAGCCACTTTGGATATTATTGTGGTGATTTCTCAGAAAGTTAGGAAACAACCTTCCTCAAGATCCAGCAATACCATTTTTGGGCATATGCCCAAAGTATGCTCAATCGTACCACAAAAAAATGTGCTCAACTATGTTAATAGCCGCATTGCTTTCCATAGCCAGAACCTGGAAAAAACCTAAATGCCCCTCGACCAAAGAATGGATTAGGAAAATGTGGTACATTTACACAATGGAGTACTACACAGCAGAAAAAAATAATGACATCTTGAAATTTGCAAGCAAATGGATGATTTAGAAAGCATAATATTGAGAGAAGTAACCCAGACTCAGAAAGTTAATTATTATATATACTCACTCATAAGTGGCTTTTAGACATGAAGGAAAGAAAACCACTCTACAAACCACAATCCCAGAAAACTTAGACCACAATGAGGACTCTAAGAGAGACATACATGGATCTAATTTTCATGGAAAGTTGAAAAAAAAAAGATCTCTAGAGCAATTTGGAAACATAGGGACCATGGGAAAGGGTGAAGAGGAGAGTATAGGAAGGGAGGGGAACAGAGAAAACTGTATAGCTCAATAAGATCAATTTTTTAAAAAAAAATAAAAATTTATGTAAGCTTTAGAGAACCAAGAAAATCCTAAGACTTTCTCACAGATCAAAAGGAATCCAGACAAGTACAACCTAAATTTCCTAATCTGTCTATTCCTAAGAATAATCCCTCTCTTTAGACTTCACTCCTTCTCTGAAAGTTCCAATTGTGATTTTTTCTTTAAATTCCTAAGATTTAATTTTTGCTTCTAGTCTTTATCTGTTCATCAGGTTTCAGCATGGCTGACAGACATGTCTAGGCACCAGCTGCTGACTTCAGCCTCTGAGTATTGGAATTGCTAAAAACAGATAAGGACCAATCCAGTCAGTATAAATGCAGCTTGTCTCCAGCTAGGTCAAATCAGATGCTTCTGATAAGTGTCCCCTAAATTGCTTAAATTCCCTCCTTACCTTTGACTAACTTTTCAGCCTTTCTGGGCACTGTCCATTTCAGCTTGAAGCTGCTACAGAAGAAAGTACATTGTCCCTGCCCTAAAATAGGCTGAGAAAATGTCAAATCAGAGACTTTAAGATAATCAAAATGAATCAAAGATTTGATTCTAGTTACAAATCCAAGAGGGGAATGAAGAGTCCAAGAATAAGAATATAGAAGTATAGGTTCCAGAAATAAGAATGTAGAAATAAGGAAATATGAAGTTGTAATCCTAGGAGAATGAGAGCAGGCTGTCAGCAGCTTTCTAGCAGCTTAAGGATTAACTATTAACTATAAACACTTTGATTTACAATCGATAGCTCTGTCTGCAAGACTGAAATGACCCTCTGCAAACTGAGGGGCAGCTTTTAGATAACCTCCTACTACCTCATGACCAGCAATTAACGTGGGCTGAGTTAACTTTTAAATGATGGGATGTATGTGACTTTTTGGTTGTGCATTTTCCCATACCCTTCCCTGCTACACAAAACTGGCAGTATCTAGGGAATATAGAGCTTTGGTAAACACCATCAGAAATAGCCAGAGAAAAACAATAAAGTAAATACAAATGCTAGTTTAACTAAAAGCCCTGTTCATGGAAATTGTAATGAAGTAAAAAGCAATTTGTATCTCAGTTTTACCTCGATTGTAAAAATTCTTTTTCTCATGTCTAATGCTTGTTGCTTCTTGATATAAAGAAGGGAGTTTGGAAACCGTCTTTTGCCACAGCCTTACAAGTTCATCTCTGGCTGTGGTCTCAGCTAGCTGATGAGCTTTTTGTGCCCCATGGAGATTTATTTTTTTTTATTTACCAGGAATAAAGTTTGCTTCTGGTGTAATAGGCTTTGGTGATCTGTCCCCCATCCTTTCACAACCACCATGGACCCATCACACCCACATATATACAGTGCCTACAGAGGTCAGAAGAGGCTACCAGATAGGGTGTTGGATCACCTAGAACAGTTACAGATGGTTGTGAGCCCCAAGTAAGTGATGGGAATTGAACCTGGACCTCTGCAATAGCAGCCAGTGCTCTTAACCACTGAGCCATCTCTCCCAGCCCCTGGCTTGTTTTTTTAAATGTTACATTTGGAAATAATTTCCAACTCTTAAAGATATTCCAAAAGTAGCTCTCATATGCTCTGTACTCAATTATCTAAAATATTAACATTTTAGTGACTACATTGTGGTTCTCACAATCTATACATGTCCATGGTATCATACAAAGAACTATACATATGTATAGACCTTACCCAATAAACCTGAAATAGGGTTTCTGAAATAGAATCTAACCTAAGCTTATATATTGTATTTAACTGCTTTGTCTCTTTTGAGGTTATTTTTGGTAATGGGTATTTTTGTTTTGATTTGGTTTTTGTCTTCACAGTCCTGGTGATTGAACTTAAAGTCTGGCACATTCTAGGGAAGTGTTCTACCTCTGAGCTGTATCCTCAGTCCCCTTAGTCTTCTCTAATCTGGAAGAGTTCTTCAGAATTTTCTCTACATGACCATAGCATTTTGATTTTTGGTTCTATTGTTGTCTGATTTGTTTTTGAATCTAGGTCTCTTTTTGTAGCCCAAGCTGGCCTACAAATCACTCTGAAGCTAAGGCTGGACTTGGAAGTTGTCCAGCTAACCCTTGGGAATTTATGAGGTTTTTGGCTAATATAGTTGGTGTTTTTGTTAAACTAGGTTTTTATTGTTGCTGTTGCAGGGGGTAGAGGGAGCTGTTTAGGTCTCATTTAGCCCAGGCTCCTCTCAAATTGCCCAGGTGGGCCTGGAACTTCTGATCTTCCCACCTCCACTTCCCAAGTGCTGAGATCATAGACCTGAGCTACTGTGCCCTGCTTAATCTTTTGCTTTTGCTTTTGCTTGAGACAAAGCCTCACTACATAGTTCAAGCAGGCCTGGGATTTGTAAGCCTCCTACCTCTAGTTCCCTGGTGCTACCCCCACTGAAAGTATATTAACCAGCTGTTGGTTTGTTTGTTTGTTTGTTAGTTTTTTAATAACCCTCCATTTGAGCTCATCTAATATTTCTTCATGGTTAAGCTCAAGCTGTGCTCTTCATCCAGGTAGCACAGGAACAGCACTGTGCCTCCAGATCAGCATGGGAGGAGCCAGGGTGACAAGGTCTTTCACTGCTGCTCAGGGGAACTTGGAGCACCTGGCTAACACTTCTCCCCTATAAAATGACTACATCACTTGGAAACGTCGTTTTATATTATTTATTTCATCTTATTTATTGGGAGAGGCGAGCAAACTCCAGCAAACCTACGGTGGTCAGAAGACAGCTTGGAGGAGGAGGTTCTTTCTGTACATCATGTGGATCCTGGGGATCCAACACAGGTCATCAAGCTTAGTGACAAATGTCTTCACCCATTAACCCATCTTGGAAGCACTCTTAGACTATCAGTGCCTGGGACACCACAGGTTAATCAAATGAGACACATTTGGAGTTTGGAACAGACCCTGAAAGATGGTTCAATGCCTCAGATTCTAACAAACATCCAGAACTGAAAAACAACAGTAAAAATTAGTCCTGGAAAGCAGCAGAGAAGCCATTCTGTGGGCCTCTCTTCTCAAAGCATAACAAGTTAAGCAGAGATAACTAAACACAGACTTTGGTGGGGACCCATGGTAGAAGAAAAGGACAAAGTTCCCTTGGTTGGGAAAGGTTTGAGTGAGCAAACAGCTGTCCAAGAAAAAGGGAAGGTCACGCCTGACCCCGTCTTCCTGCTCTTTTTCCGCACCAGACCTCAGGGAAATCTTTGCTACACTGAAAGTGTACAGCACATAATTGCTATAATTGCCACCAACAGGAAAGAACTCAATTCTGTTATAAAGATCCAGCCTCCCATACCAATGTACTGCATCTGACTACGGTTGAAAGCACAACCCACAGAGCCCATGTCAGAGGCACAGGGCCTCCCTTGAGCAGCTCCAGTTGCTGTTCTGCCCTCAGTGTCTTCTGAAGAGAGAGGGTAAAGACTCTGCTCTAAGTTCACAAAATAGGAAAGTGCACCCATCTCCCATCACCTGACTGCTGAAGCAACTCTCACTGTGCTCAGGTTCTCACTGTGCTCAGGTTCCTTGTGGCATTTCTGGGGGTTTCATTAAAAATTTCATCAGGATGGAGGGAAAGTTCAGCAGTTAAGTGCACCTGCTGCTCTTGCAGAGGACCTGGGTTCAGTTGCCAGTGTCCACATCTGGTGGCTCACAATTGCCCGAAATTCCCCCTCCAGTGAATCTGATGCCTCTGGCCTCCTTAGGCATCTGCAGTCACAGACAAACACACACAACCTTATTTTTAGCCTTTTTTGAGACAGGGTCTCACTCATTAAGTAGCCCTGGCTGGCCATGAACTCAGAGATTCACTGGCCTCTGCCTAGCAATGTGGTGGAATTAAAGTCTTGCACCACCAAATGTACAGCTAAAACTTTTTAAGATAATAACTTAAATGTTTTCTTCAATCCCTCCCAGAGAGGGAATATCTCATTACATGCAAAAGAGAATTCCAAATTGAGAAGGACCCTGTGAGAAGGACTACCACAGGGTCTGACTGACACTGGATCACAGAAGGAGCTGATGCAGTATTAAAATAACTCTCAACCTCTCTCTCTCTCTCTCTCTCTCTCTCTCTCTCTCTCTCTCTCTCTGACACACACACACACACACACAAAAAAGATTAGCTGCTCGGGACTGACCTAGACACTCTGCTTATATGTGACAGCTGGGTAGATTGTGGTCTTCTTGTAGGACTCCTAACAGTAGGGAGCAGGAGCTGTCTCTGATTCTTTTGCTGGCTCTATTCCTCATACTGGGTTGCCTTTCCCAACCTTAATACAAGGTGGGATGCTTAGTTCTTACTATAATTTCATATGCTATATTTTGTCGATATCCATGGGAGGCCTGCCCTCTTTTGAAAAGAAACAGAGGAGGAATGGATGGGGGGAAGCAGAGGGGAAGTAATGGGGAGAAACTGGGAAGGAGGAAGAAGGGAAAACTGTGGTCAAGATGTAAAAATAAATAAATAAATATTTTTTTAAAACTGCCCTTCACATAGCTAATATACTTCAACTATCTCTTGAGAGGGTTGGCACACTAGATGCTAATACTTGGGTGAAATAATTCACAAAAGAGTGGGGTCAGGCTAGGCAGTCGTGGCACAGGCCTTTAATCCCAGCACTCAGGAGGCAAAGACAGGTTTATTTCTGTGAGTTCTAGGCCAACCTGGTCTCCAGGACAGGCTCCAAGCTTCAGATAAACATTCTCAAAAAACAAAAAACAACAACAAAAAAGAGTTGGGTCAGGAATGGCTGGGAAACATTTCCAGAGAAAGGAGGGTTTAGGATTGGGCATTTGAACAGTAGGGTTAGGGAAACAGACACAAGCAAAGGGAGCCAGGGACTGGTTACTGCTTATAGACGCTGACTTGGAAGTTCTCAGGGAAGGAGCCTGAATTTTTTCCCATTCATTCATCTCAATCAGCACAGGGGGTTACTTCAGAGAGGAAGGTGCTTGCCAAGGCTGATGGTGCACTTGCGGTCAGAAACTACTGTGTCTGACTCCAGAACCCACAGCATAAGAAGACAGAACACAGTTTAGGAAAGGGGAGGAGCAGGGATCACTGTGACAGAAAGATGTGATTGGGAAACCAGAAGTTAGACAAGCTTGCTAAAGTGGAGCTATATGTCGCAGGGCTATGAAAACTAGTCAGAGATATTTGAACGAGGCCTGTGATTGCCGAAGAACCACTGTAGGTTTGGGGTAGAGGAACCATCAAATGACACCTGAGCAAAGATCAGAGGAGAAAAGAGGAGCTCTAAGCTCTAAACCAGAGAAGCTGCTGACCATGACAGAGGGGACGGGGACAGAGGACAGTGAGGAGGGCACTTAGAGGGAGACCCTGAATTTAAAGAAAAAGTGCCACGCAGGGCATGGTGGTGCACACCTTTAACCCCAAAACTGGGGAAGCAGAGGCAGGGGATCCCTGTGATCTACAGAGAGCTCCAAGGCAGCCAGAGCTACACACTGAGGCCCTGCCTTAAAAAAAAAAAAAAAAGAAAGAAAGAAAGAAAGAAAGAAAGAAAACTTTGTATGTCAAAATCATAACCACACCAGACAAGTCAGATTCTC